TATACACATTGGATCACATGAAACCACCAGAGGAACCAGAGCAGAACCAGTGCTGTCTGTACTAACTCTAACCCACACAGAGCTCTGCTTGGCTCCTGATGAACTTAAACCTGCTCTTCCTGGTGTGTCAGCTGGTTCCTCTGGAGAACACAGAGCTACAGAACAGCTGTGGAGGCTCCTGGTTAACAAGGCTGAAAAACGCTAACTGTCCCTCATTGGCTTCCATAATCACCGGGCCTTGTGAGGCAGCGGCCAGCTGAGTGGACAGAGCAGAGCTCCTTGATGGGCCACCTTAGCAGATCTATTCATCGATTGCACTCATTGACTGCTTTGCATCTCACAGCTCAGTGCCCTGCTGTCCAGTGCTGACTGAGAGGACAGCAGGTCATCTGGAGCTGGTTCTGGGATTTTCTGGCAGGACCCCGGCTCCAGCCTCGGCCTGGCCCCCTCTCCATCCCTCTAGCGCCTCTCTTGTCATCTGCATGCAGTGTTCTGAACTGGAGGGGATCAGCTCACCTGTGTGTTCTCGTAGAAGCCCGGTGGATTCCTGCGCTCTCTGCCGGACCACAGACATGGTGACCCGGTTCCTCTGCTCATCCCTGACCAGTCTCCTACTCGCCTTCTCTAAGCTGCCGCCGCCGCCGAGCGTCCTGCATCCGCGTCCTGCATCAGCGTCCTGCATCAGCGTCCTGCATCAGCGTCCTGCATCAGCGACCCACCGCGACCTCTTCCATCGTTTGAATTCAAATTGCGAGCAAAGTTCTATTTCTATAGCACCTCCTGGAACCCAGTGGTGGACACACTCAAAGAACACAGTGAGCCACAGACAAACCAAACACACACACAACAACATGGATGAATGGATTTAGTCCGAGCTGAGCTTCGTACATACAGGACGTTCCTGCTGAGCCTCATAGAGTTATAAATACAGTTCCTGACATACAGAATACTACAATGCATTTAAGGTTTTTAAAGAGAAATCTGTATTCTGAGTCTGTGCACTGTGCAGCATCATCTAAAGCAGGCTCCCTAATCTGGCATCACTCAGCGCTGAGAGGTGAAGAGCTGAACATCCTGAGGTCCATGATTCAGCTGCACTTCAGCTCAATACAAACACAGCAAACGAGAAACGAACATGATGTCAGCAGGGCTTTAAGATGAAAACTGAAACACAGATGAATGTCTCACAAGTTAAACACGAAGCAAAAAAACAGGTTTGTTTGAACATGTTAGATAGATTACTGCACGTTTAACATCAGCATTTTCTTGTTTTGTGTGGTGAATGTGTACATTTGAAAATCACCGTAGTTTATGTCAGAACCTGCCAGAGAGCCGCCGCGATAGGAGCAGGCCCAGTAAAAGGTTTGTTCAGCCATAGTGAGAGACCTGATGTTCTCTGCAATTAGTGGAAAAAAACCCACATTTATTGGGATCAGGATAATTTATAATAAGCTCAACAACATCTAAACCCTTCCAAATGCTTCATGAGATATTCTTTACGTACAACCCTGATCAGGCCCTGAGATCCTGCAGAAAAAGCAAGTCAGTGGTAAAGCTGAACTCTTTTCTCAACATCAGTGTTCATAGAAAAAAAGACAGTTTGAGCATTAATGCTGCTCTGATCACATCATTTTCATGTTTAATGTCACAAACTAATAATGAATGTTTGGAATGAATATGCAGTTTAACTTTCCCAGTGTTGCTGGAAGGATGTTCCACAGAACTGACAACACGTCTGAGCGGGTCCGTCTGAGCGGGTCCGTCTGAGCGGGTCTGTCTGAGCGGGTCCGTCTGAGCGGGTCCGTCTGAGAGGGTCCGTCTGAGCGGGTCCGTCTGAGAGGGTCCGTCTGAGCGGGTCCGTCTGAGCGGGTCCGTCTCACTGGAAGCTTCTCTGTGGAGGCTGCGATCAGCGCTGGGACGTTACACTGACCAGAGATCTGTGGAAGCAGGAGGCCGGCCAACTGCCATCCACAGAGCAACAGTAAACATCTCTGAGTTCGACTCTTCTGGTCCGTAACTGTCCAACATGGGGTGGCAGCGTTGCTTAGTAACCATAGCACATGACTGACCTTATCGGTGCGGTCATAAAAATGTATGAAGTCCTTCTATTCATTTTCCTTCTCTGCTGTGTTCTCCCTCACACACACAGTACAGATGAACACATCATAAATGCATTGTTCCTGTGTGTGTGTGTGTGTGTGTGTGTGTGTGTGTGTGTGTGTGGGAGAGAGAGGGAAAGCGAGCGAGCGAGCGAGCAGCAGGGTGGTAATGAAGGGCTATACCTGACACATGCCACAGACGGCATCAAGCAGCATGAGGAGGAGGGGGAGAGCATCCAGTGACAGGAAAACAGCCGAGCATGCAAATCTGAGTTCACCTCCGCTCAGCGATGTGTGCCGTGCTAATAAAGATAAAACCATGCAGGATACAGATTTATAAAACATAATGATATTAGTGTTTGCCCTCAGCAGCAGATCTCTGTGATCTACTTAGTTGATGTAAATCTGTCTAGTTTACGGTGTCTTAATCTGGCTGTAATCCGCCCAACATATTTATTGAACTGACAGAGTATTATGGCTGGTGGGCTTTCCGAGGCCTTTATGAGCCAGGAGCAGCGCTGATGATTCCACGCAGGACGCTAAACGCCACGTCTGTCAGCTCACTGACACGCTATCACAGCCACTGACTTTCTTGCAAAGTGCTGCTCTGCTGTTCCCACAGGGAGCGCAGATGTTAGCCTGGCTGTCGACGCCGGCGCCATCTTTCCGCCCTGACAACATCTGCACAGCTGCGCTGCCGGCTGGAATGCCACAACCCGCTCTTGAACTGTTGACAGCTAGGGGCAGGTCGGCACAGATGGCAGAAGGGGGTGTCAGGGGACTGGCACCGGGTGGGGGGGTGGATGGCAGGTAGAGAGCGGGGCTCCCATCTGGCCTCGGTGCTGGCGATCTGCCCCGGGGCATCTTCAATGTTTCCTCGACAGAAAACCTGTCAGGAGTTGGAAGTCACCTTGCGCAAAGCGTTGTACTCTCTGGGAGGTTTCAGGGAGTTTAGAAGGGCGGAGGGGAATTCAAACGCTGCGGTCTGTCATAACGCCGACAGACAGGAGAAGGAAAGCAACGGGAACTAAGTGATCCTGAAAAACTGACTGGTCCAGCGCTGAACTGGTTGCATTGCGGTCCCTGTAACGCTCATGGATGGTTAATGTAGGAAGCTGCATTCTGTCATTAACTCCAGTCTTCTTGCTAACCTGTAGGGTTCTCTTGGTCTATCTGAACACAAGGTGGGAATAACAATGTGTTTTTATGTGCAATAAACAGCATCATGCTGCATACTGACAGAGATGATAATACAGTGGTGACTGGATAATCGACCCTTAACAATCCTAAACCTGCTGTCCGACAGGTTTTTAGGAAAACCCAACAGAACCCATAAAAACAGCCTTAACATAGCGACAGCCTTGGATTGTGACTCCGACATGACATTTAATGTCACCAATCAGGATGACGGCGTATTATCTGACTGAACAATCCCACAGATTGGCTACGTTCACACTGCAGGACTTGATGCTCAATGAGGATTTCTTTGTGACTTCCTTCACGTTTCCACTTCAATGCGACTTGTATGTGATCTGCTGTGTGAACTTCATACGAGCCAAAAGTGTCCCGCATGCGCAGAAGAGGACACGACGACGTCACACGCAGCGAGCGTGCTCAGTGTTTATGGAAGTAAACATGGATGGTAACGGTGGAGCGTATCTGCCACTCCCCCGCCGCCACCGATGGAGGAAACAGAAGTGTGAGCGCTAACTAAACTAGCATCAGCAGCCAAGTACTGCCTGTGTGTTCTGGACACTTCCACCCCGTCAGAGCGCTGCCCCGGGGTGGAAGTGTCCCCCGACCGCACCGAATGTTCTGATATTCATCATTAATTGGGCCTGAATATCCAGAGAGCAGAAAGTTCTACTGGGACCAGCCCTACTAGTTATTATAACAACTATGAACAATAATGAACAACTAATGAGCCTTCCAGCATCAAGCCCTCCTCGTATCTGGACCTCCGTCTGGACAATCCGACATAGAAGAAGGTTTGGACATGTGGAGGCGGGTCATTGGTCCATGTTTCCATGGTGTGTGGGCTGAGCAAGAGCAAACATGAATTCATCTCATTTGTCAAAAAGTCACAAACAAAGAAATATGAAGCATGACTTCAATTAAAAACTGTGTTTATCAGAAAGTCTAATAGAATTAGAACAAAATGAGGTGTTTTAGCAGCTGTTCAGGAGGCTGAAGTCTCCTCGGTTACAAACATCAGAGTTACTGTTTAACAGCCGTCCTGTTGGGCTTTCCTTCCTTCTCTGCCTCATGCTTTGCAATTCTTTAACAATTAAGGACATGTTTAACTGCTGAGTCAAGAATTAAGTTACAGACCCTCCAAGTCCTTCCACAAAATGCAACACCAGGCCGGACAGGCTGACAGAGCAGACCTGCAGATCACAGCGGCGCTGCTCAGTGGGGGCTCTGGGTCTGACCTGGACTGGCTGTCCAGGGCACCGGGCCAGCGCACAAGAAAAGCGCTTTACGGATGGAGCATGTGGTCAGGTCATCTCTTCTCCTTGTCTTCCCCTCTTCACAGCTCCCCTTAATCCCAGTCTAAAGCTCCCTCCCCCCGTCCTTCTCCTCGCCTCGACCCCCTCCCTGTACGCAGCATATAGCAGCAAACGCCAGCAGATGCCCGTGTCTAAGACAGGCATTATGTTCTTAGAGGATGTCCTGGTAATTCTGTTTTTTGCCAGGCTGCTGATTATTGCCATGTTGTCGAGGAGAGGCGAGGATGAGAGGCGGCACACAAGACAACAGGTAGCCATCGCTGCTGCTGCCGGGTCACGTGGTGCCGCCGTCTATGCAAACCAGGATCCTACGGAGCCGGAGGGGACGGATGTCTGATTGTAGTATATGGGAAGAGACGAGATTAACATCCAGATAAACACACTGCACAGATAGACAGACGAAGAAAGACTTAGAATGTTACGAACGGCATTATTGGTGGTGTTCAGGGGACAACTAAATGGCATTCAGGGATGTCTGGACAGCGCAGCAGCATTTAGTGTTGGACTTTATAACATGTTACTCATCAAGAATTTAAAACCGGAGGAGCAGGACTTCATTTGCTATAAGAAAATGTGTCAATCACGGGGACTCGGGTAGAAAGTGGTTTGTCAGACCCTGAGGGGGCCACACTGACCTAAATACAAACCAGTCAACAGCAGTGCTACACTGACCAACCACAGGAGGAGACCAGGGAGGCCAACATCTAACCACGCTGACACGACACCACTTAAGATTCCTCAACAGGGAATCCACATTTCTGAAGGCAGATCAAATATTTCATTGGAAAAAATCACCAGTGCACTTCACACAATAAGCAAAATATGCATCCATGTGTTTTTGCTGTCAGTAACGAGCTGTGTCACCCGTTAATCCCGGCAGCTTGTTGCTTCCTGCTGACGGCTCCAGACAGATGTTTTCTGCTCACTGTTATCGGTGTACGGTTCTACATAACGGGTGAAAAGAGATTAAAGTATAACCTTTTCAGTAAAGAGGATTTCTTCACATTCAGCTCATCAGACGCTGGATTCACGGTCGGTGAGGATTGATGCCACCGTGTGGTCAGGAGTGGTACTGCAGGCAGCAGGTCAGCATCAAGACTAGAAGCAGGCTGCTGGTTGTAGTGACATACAGTCCTGACAGTGGGTAGTTTTTAAGGCATCGCTGAACTTGGCTGACGTGGAGGTGTTTTGATGTCACGCCTTCATCTTGGTACAAACCGTAGACGATTTATCCCAGACTGAATGAAGTTCAGATGCTACTATAATCAGAATCTAATTAAGAAGGAAGCTAACAGCCAAACATATGCCGATCTACCGTACGGCCATTTATGAGCTGACCTGCAAGGCTTGTGGTAGTTGCAGAATTCCTGTTCTTGGTAACTGTTCAGCTCATCTGCAGGACGAGACAAACCTGGAATCTTGAAAATAAATCTGCATGAGAACACTTCATAATCAGAAATATTCTGTTTGTCTATAAAAAGGTGTTTTGGGATTCTCCTAAACAAGCAAACTGATTCCAGGACTGAGGCAGCTGTGGGTCGGACCTCATTTCTACTGACGGTTCATTTCACATCCAGCTTATCTGACGATCTCTGTCAAATTAAAGTGACAGTTAAAATGATTAAGTGCACTGCCTGGCTGTGGGTTGGTTCTGTCTGTTAGCTCCTGGAGAGAATGCAGCGGTTCAAATAAACGGTCACTCATGACCTGTAATCCAGGACGATCTATTGGATTACACTTTGCTTATAATCTCCAGGAGCGCTGCTGTAATTTTCTGCTTCATGTCGTCACATCTCAGAAGGAAATGCTGCAGCGTGTGTTTTGTCTGATTTGAAAGATTTGCTGGAATGACTCTGAACGCTGGCTCTTCAGATGCAGGCCCTTCATGGAAAACTTGACTTCTTTCTGTTCTGGATGCGGATGAGACACCTGCACAGGTTCATGATGCAGAGAGGAGCGGGACCAGCAGTCTGCCTCAGCCAACTTATAGATTTAAATTGCTCTGAAATTTGGTTTGTGGCTCGACGTTTGATTGGTGAACGGGTCCTGGTGGGAGAACTTAGCCCTTCCTAAGCTCCAAAGCTGAAGACGTTTCATCTACAGCGACACTGAAATGAGGAACCAGCAAAGGCCGCAATGTTTTATTAAAGAAGTACATATATTTAAAAAACATTTTATATATATAGTTTTTTTCATAGAGAGAGAATTTATAACCACATTTGTTGGTATTTGTTTGATAAATTGTTGAAGTTAAAAAATTGTAAAACCACTATAAAAAATAAGCCTTTAAAATGAGACTGGATGTTATTAATGAAAGAAGCTGAAACCAGCTTTGATTCATTCACATCCAGC